GGACTCTGGGCGACTTACAAAAAGCATTAAAACTATAAATATATCTAAAACACATAAAACATCCAGAATTAAAACAATACTAAAAAATCCCATAAAAATAGGGTTTGGAAGCCAAATGTGTTCCGTGACTTCCCCAAACGGCCCAATCCTGCCTTAGCGTAACTGCCTAGATCCACAGTTGAGGGACCTGCCCTGTATCCATAATAAAAGAGCAGAACAGTCCAAGAGATAGTGATTTCAACCCTAGGCGAATTTTCATCCAGGCCTCTAAGAGTTGCCCCGATAAAGGAGCCAAAGTTGACATCAAGAAGACAACATCATGATCATCTTCCTTGATTATGGTCCAAACCCAGTACCATAGAAATCAAAGCAACCCAAAAACAAGCCGAGATTCATGTATGACTGACACAATGCCTGACCAGTGTAACATCATAAATATTGACATCAGCTTCTGAGAGTAAAGGAAGCATCTCCATGCATTCCCCCTCCCCCATCTTTCCACACTTCGGACCCCTGCCAAAACTCTCTATCAACTTGCTACATCTTGATCCTTTCCATCTGCCGCTCACCAAATCTCCCCAACAGTGTGTCATCCTGTGGTCTGTAGAAGACGTCAAGTGCTACATCAGAGGCCTTGAGGAAACCAAGAAGGACCCCACCCCAAAAAATCAGCTACTACTACAATAATGAGCAGTACCATCTAAATGAGTCATGAATCATTAAGGAAATCCAGCATGTTTCTCATTTTCCCAGGATTTTTTTTTTTCCTTGTGAAAGAGACCTTTGTTTTTTTTTAACTCAAAGTATTTTTAGAATTCTTTGGAATTACATTCTGGATAATTTTAGCTTACTTTTCTGTGGCAAGAAGATAAAGGGTGGTAATGTTTGGTTTTTTCTCTCTCTTTCTCTCTTTTTTCTCCTTTCTTTCTATTATTCTACAGAACTCCCTGACTGTTCTCCCTTGCTAATCTGGAAAGAAAAAAGAAAAAAAGCTCCATGGGTAGAGTTCTTTCAGGATGCAGAATTGTGGGAAGCTAAGGAGGTAGCAGATCATGGGAGAGACAATTGCACCATGAAAGACAATTTATTTGCATATACGTTCCTCTATCATCTTTTCACTGAAAAAGATGAAAGAATCCTGCGGCTGACTACTGGAATTTCAATGAAATGTTCTTCTTTAGGAATGAATGAATGAATGAATGAATGAATGAATGAATGAATGAATGAATGAATGAATG